ACCTTTTGGTTTCTCCATATCCATAGTGACCAAATAACTGCAAACCAGGTTACAAGCCATGCTTGTTTTGATTTTTCTTCAAAGAAGAGATCTGCATGCTGTTGCAAATGGTTCCAGCCTTCATAGTGTTGAGGAACAGCAACACCCCACCAATTATAGCAGGAGGACCAAACAAGCCATGCTGTTCTGCAAGTGAATAGAAGGTGATCTGTTTCTTCAGGATATATTGTCCGCATAAAGTGCATGTCAAATCCCTCTCAATGCAGTCTATGATTTTGATTTCACCACCGATGAGAATGGCCAGAAAAGCAAAATCTTCTTCATTTGCTTGGTAATTATTAACTTGATTAATTTTCACTAAAATATAGTTGCCAATACACAAATTAAGATGTACCAAAATTTAATTATATTATATGTTCCAGGGCACCTGATGCATCAAAGGTGAGAAATAAAATGGTATATGCGAGCTCTAAAGACAGATTCAAGAGAGAGTTGGATGGGATTCAAGTAGAGTTGCAAGCAACCGATCCTAGCGAAATGAGCCTAAACATTGTAAAATCCCGAACCCTCTAAACAGTCAACATGCCATTCAACGGTGACCATTTTCCTTTACAATCGCTTTATTTATGATATGGTAAAAAGAGTAAAAATCGAGATATTTTGATATTTTAATAGTTAAGATTTTTGTAAAAATTATTAATGAATTTTCATATTGATTCATATTAATTTAAAATATTTTAATACTATTATTATTATACAGATATTTTAATTATCAAAATTTTTTAATTTTTTTCAATCTCATATATATATGAGAGTACTGTTATTTATTTGTGTTCTTAATTTATTTTCTTGTCTTTTATTGCACGGGTTTTTTTATACTTAAACCACCTAGTTTAATTAACCTAATACTCATGATCCAATTTCTCAAAAAAAAAAAAAAAGAAGGTAATGTTCATGATATATACTTTAATTTCTCATCATCTTCTTTCCTATATTTTTCCTTTTACTCGTGTACGTTGCTTTTGGTAATTAATTGGCAGCAAAAGTGAAAACGATATTCTCACTTACATTTTTAGTGAAGGAAAGATAAAAAAATAAATTTTAGAACAAAATTACCTTTCTAATAACAAAATTTGTTCTTTCTCATGTGTGTGTGTATATATATATATATATATATACATTTTGTGGGGCAAAATTGGCTTTTCACATCTTCACATTGTACAACAGCAGCACAAGACTTGTAAGTTGTACCGTGGGGCAAAAGATGGGCTTCTCCCCTCTATACATTGCACAACAGTAGCACAGGTCTGTAAAATGTTGTATTATTATTATATATAGAAAAAAATATGATGTAATTTAAATTATATTAAATTATAATTATTACATAAATATAAAATTTTAAC